AGACTCTTAAAAACTGAAAATAAACTGGGGCACCTGGGTGGCTCAGTCAGTTGGGCGTCTGACTTTAGCTCAGGTCATGATCTCACGGTCCATGGGTTCAAGCCCCGTGACGGGCTCTGTGCTGACAGCTCAGAGCCTGGAGCCTGCTTCAGATTCTGTGTCTCCCTCTCTCTCTCTGCCCCTCCCCCGCTCAAGCCCTGTCTCTGTCTCTCTCAAAAATAAACAAACATTAAAAAATATTTTTTTAAAAACTGAAAATAAACTGAAGGTTGATGGGGGGCGGGAGGGAGGAGAAAGTAGGTGATGGGTATTGAGGAGGACACCTGTTGGGATGGGCACTGGGTGTTGTATGGAAACCAATTTGACAATAAATTTCATATTAAAAAAAAAAAACAGGAAGCCTTTCATTAAAATAAATATTCAAGGTCAGGTGCCTGGGTGGCTCAGTCAGTTAAGCATCTGACTTCGGCTCAGGTCATGACCTCACGGTTTGTGAGTTCGAGCCCCACATCAGGCTCCATGCTGACAGCTCACAGCCCAGAGCCTGCTTCAGATTCTGTGTCTCCCTCTCTCTCTGTCCCTCCCCTGCTTGTGCTCTGTCTCTCTCTCTCTCTTTCAAAAATAAACATTTAAAAAATTTGTAATAAATAAATATTCGAGGAAAACTAGATGAAAAAGAGTTGAGAGCTAAAAGAAACTTAAGGATTACCCAGTTCAACATTTCCCAAAGTTTGTTCTGCTGAACACTATCTTCCCAAGATATCATGGTTTATGTAAAAAAGGAGTTATGCTGTCAGGCAAGGCACCCACAAGCTTCCCATGTCTCCCCTCACCAACAGGAGGCGGGCCTATCACTGTCTCTTCCACTTTATCCCTCTCTCACGTCTAACCCATCATTCTGACCCAAGCTCCGCAGGGAAACGGTTCGTGTTTGTTTGGCTCCCGTGGAGACGCACTTACGAAAACAGGAGTCGGTGCTGGCCGTGTGGGTTTTGAGCCCCGTGACGTTTACTTCTCACTGTGGTTTAGTACATCAGTCTCATGGGCTCAGCTCACTGGGGACTGCCCCTGAGAGATGGACCCTGTTTGATGCTGCCAAGACTGGATTTCTGAGACAGCCCCAGGAGCATGCTGAGTGTACTGAGGAAATGAGGAAACGACCCCCAGAGGGCAGGCCCTCGGAAGCCAGCCGCCAGCCTCTATCTGGGCAGACCCCACGCCCCATGCTCCACCCCTGCCACCAGTGCTGTGGCCACAGAGCGCATGTGTTCTTCCTGTGTCTGAAGCTCCAGACTTCGCAGAGCCCCAAGTCTTAAGGGAGTGATGAAACAGCCTCTGGGAACTGAGTGTACCAGAAACCCGACAACATCTTCTTGAGAGGGCACGGTTTCCTTACCCAGGGACACGCCGTTTCCACAGCTGTCTCCTGGGGGGTCCTCGCAGAACTCCTTCTCAGCATGTTTGCTGGGGCCCAGGGCTTCCTGTGAGATGTACAAGACAGGGACCTCAGTTGGAAATGGCCTGGCAACGCGACCAGGCCCCGGGAAAGATAACGGACGCAGGGATACCATGTGTGAGGCCAGTGTCGTAAGGAGCAGTATGACCGTGGAGAGGCCAGCAGACTGGGGGCCAAGGGCAGAGGCTAATACCCCAGGACATATGTCCTTCTGCTGAGGGCAGGCCACAGAGTGAGGAGAGGGGCACAGGCGCAAGGGCACAGGAGGAGTAAGGACAGGAAGGAAGGGACAAACAGCAGCTTACCTGGGACTCAGCAGTCACCTCCCAATCTCCAACACTCCCCGTCTTTGGGAGAGTAGGGACTCGGGGAGTGAGGACAGCTGAGGAGAAGAAGAAGTCTCCTAAACCCAAACTCTGGTTCCCAAGAAACCACCCCTCCCGGCTCCAGCTTTCCAGATGCCATGCTTGCATCAAGCTGGGACTGTCCTGGTATCCCGGGCAGATGTCCCCTTTCACTTCCATCCTAGAGCGTCTGGCTCCTAAGCTGCCTCGAGAGATGGGCCGTGTGTAAGATGCACCTCACACTCCTATGATCACCACGTGACCCCGGCCCTGGCCTGAACTGGCTGCATGACTCAGTGGGGCGCCAACAGCGCTGGGCGCTTCCTCTCCTTGCACAGCGCTTACCTGCCTTACTTCCCAGTGTGTCCACCAGACACCAATCCACCCCGTCTTGAATTCTGCACATCCCTACTCCCTGTGCACCCTTCCTTACCCCCTCTACCCCTCACCTCTCCTCCCGGACATTCCCTGATTCTTGGTACTCACCACTTTCTTTCAAGGAGTGTGGCACTATCTTGGTGTCTAGATGCTCGGGAAGGTCAGGGCATGAGTTCTTCACCCACTGCTTCTGGGACTGTCCCTCAGGCCAGTGATTCACTGGCTGCAGTGGACAGTGCTGAGATTCCTGCATTGCCTTTAAGGACCCAGTCTCTTCTGCACACAAGGCCAATTCCTACACAGACAGTCAAAATTCCCAATGGTCAGTTCAGGAAGACCAATTATGGTAGGGCAGGGAATGTTCTGTGGAGTACAGCTGTGGTCCAGAGGTTAACAGACTCTTTCTAAGATCCAAAGATGACTCAAAGTATGACAGGAAAGCCATGAGACTGACATTAGTCAACAGACCAGCGCTTATACCACCAAATGACTAATGTTTTGTTCAACACAGGGAAGCTATACAAGCATCTCAATGAGGCTGCTACTGTTCCAAACATTTTTGAATCATAAAGAGATAAATCATGTAAAGTTTTCATGACATTAAAAACTAATCTCTAAACATCAAAAGTCGATTAATTTTTAAGTTATCAAATTAAGATAAAAGTTAACCAGGTATACATTAAATGACAAAAGGAAACATAAAAACAGATACACCAGTAACTGAATATAATTGCTCTAAATATTCCTGCTGAAAGGCAAGGAACATTCAAAAGTAAATATAAGAAAAAGGAGAGACAACTACAAATGGAATTTTAAAATGCAATAAAAGTATGTGCTGCTTTAGAAAGTCTTATCTACTCTTCAAACAGAAGGAGAAGCAAAGAGAAGGCACCATAACTCGAAAGGAAAGTAGAAGTGGCTACAAGGTAGAAGTTCAGGCGAACGAGTACTCAGAGATACAGGGCATGTATATAATAAAAGGGAATAACCAATTAAGAGAGGGCAGTACCCACTCAGCATTACCAATCATAAAGCTCATTTCTTATCTGTCATTTGGTTCCACATTGAGAGATGGAAGAGATGTTATTTCCTGGCCCTAAAACCCCAACAATGTAACAACCTCACTGCATTATAGAAACTTAAAAAAACGTGTTTCAATTTTTTCAAAAGGTAATTTTCAATGCTCACCTGGTTCAAAAACAGAAAATATAAAGGTACATTTAGTGAAAATACCCCATCCCTACCCTGTCCCTGTCCCATCTGCCCAGGGTCTTCCTTCTCCCTACTCTTCCCCACAGGTGACTACTGTTCCGCATCCTTTCGGTTCTTTATACACAAGCATCTATGAATATAGACTCTTACTTCTTCCCTATTTTACAAAAGGTAGCAATTATATACATTGCTCTGAGTCTTATTTTTGGACTCAAAATATTAACATCCACCTTCAGCAACTTAATGAGTTTGCCAAACTTCCAGAACTCCAAAAAACCCTTGGCTGGTGGGAAAACTCCAATCCTCACTCAAAGAGAGGGATGTTTATCCTTAAGATACACAGGTATGGGCCCAGAGCATAAAAATCCATTCCAAGTGAGGCCATCCACCAATGTCTTGTGTGGCTCATAGGGAGCAAACATGTGCTTATCCACATTCTACTGTGGTTATTTAAGGAAAAAAACAAATAAATCTCTTTGTTATAGTTACAATCTTACAATCTACAGAGCAATTGCAGGACTAGACTCCACAACAATCCTCACTCCCCGCTCTAGCTCCTCTAACTACTGCCACGCCTATGCAGAGGTTTTGATCCCGTAGATGGCAACTGTAGACAGAAAGAAGGAGATTCAAGTGACAAGGAGAAGGAAAAAACTGGTAGAATATTGGCTAGAGTCGGGATGAGTAAAGAATTCATCAAAAATGCCTGTGCACCACACAAAGCCTGCACATGGATGTTTATAGCAGTTCTACCCATAATTGCCAAAACTTGGAAGCATCCAAGATATCCTTCAGTAGGTAATAAACTGCAGTACATCTAGACAATGGAATGTTACTCAACACTGAAAAGAAATGTGCTATCAAACCATGCAGACATATGGAGGGACTTTAAATGCATACTCCTAAGTGAAAGAAGTCATTCTGAAAAGGCTACGTACATACTGTATGATTCCGACTATATGACACTTTGGAAAAGGTGAAAGTATGAAGACAGCAAAAAAATCAATGGTTGCTAGGGGTTGGGGGAAGGGAAGGATAAATATGCGGAGCACAAAGGATTTTAGGGCAGTGAAACTATCTCGTATGAACTATAATGGTGAATACATGTTGTTATACATTTGTCAAAATCCACAGCACGTACAACACCAAGAGTGACACCTAATGTAAACTATGGACTTTGGGTGATAAGGACGTGTCGAGTTAAGTTCATCGATCATGATCAACGTGCCACTCTGGTGGGGAATGATGTGCATGCATGGAGACTGGAGGTACAGGAGCAACCTCTGCACTTTCTACTCAGTTTTGCTGTTAACCTAAAACTGCTCTAAAAAATAGTCTGTTTTTTTAAAAAGTGCCTCTGCAGGGGCACCTGGGTGGCTCAGCTGGTTAAGCATCCAACTGTGGCTCAGGTCATGATCTCACAGTTCATAGCTTCGAGCCCTGCATCAGGTTCTGCACCGACAGTGTGGAGCCTGCTCAAGATTTTCTCTCTGCCCCTCCCCAACTCATGCTTTCTCTCTCTCTCAAAATAAACAAATAAACTTAAAAAATATATTTTAAAAAAATGCCTATGCACCTAATGGGGAGAGGGTTGCTGCAATAGGTGACGACAGAGTCAGCAAGCCAAAACCCACCCAAGAGCACAGCTGAGAGGTCTCTTTAAGGAAAATATCTTGGAGGTCATTTAGCCCAGCAGCGCTGCCTTTTCCAGGCGGTTCTCTCTGAGGAACGGAGTTAGCATACTTCATTCCATTAGTAAGACTTGGAAAAGTCTTCCTTGCAAAAAATGTAACTGAGTCAGGTACCTTGCAATGTAAAATCACAAGCATATATGTGGGGGCATCGGAGCTCCTTTGCTACTTATCCATTTGTTTTGACATCTGTGAGCACTCAGGAGCAGGTAGAAAGTTAAAAAATAAAAATAAAAGTCACAGGAAAATAATACATAATAGAGCACATTCCATTACCTTATTTATTTATTTTTTTTTTTCAATTTTAGAAGCAATTCAACCTCTGCTCAGCTCACAAGGGTATAGTTTGAGAACTTTTGGTCTAGTCCAACCCTCTCATTTTACAGATAAAGAGTCATTAAGACCTTGATTTAAATCAGTTCTCAATTAACTCAATTCTGGGTCTCAAGTTCATTTGTTTTTTCACTGCCACTTAAGACAGATGGTTTCTTTAAAAGAAATAATACGGGAGGGTGGGGTGGTATATTAGAATAAGGTACACTCTCTCATACTTAGTTCGAACTAACTTTAAATCCTATGTTTTCTGTGTCTTCAATCAGTTTGTAAAAGAATCCAAAAAGCAGGGGCACGTGTGTGGCTCAGTCGATTAAGCATCTGACTTTAGATCAGGTCATGATCTCACAGTTCGTGAGTTCAAGCCCCACGTCCGACTCTGTGCTGACAGTTTAGAGCCTGGAGCCTGCTTCCGATTCTTGGTCTCCCTCTCTTTCTGCCCCTCCCCCATCCATTCTCTCTCTCTCTCTCTCTCTCTCTCTCAAAAATAAATAAACATTAAAAAATTAAAAAGAATCCAAAAAGCAAACCCACAGACGATAAACCTTTCTTCCCCCAATCTCACATCTGTACAGAGCTTCACCTTTTATGATGTACAGAAAACCCCTGCCATTTGCAAGGGATCTTCTCAATCTATAATTTCCCCCAACAATATATCATTAAATATAACATCACAAAAATTACTGACCGTGTAACAAGGGGAAGGAACAGGGGTATGTTGAGATGGAGGTTCTGGGTGGCTGGCTCAGCCCGCAGCCAGTTCAAGTACTTGCTCTACATATGCCAGCTCCAAAAGCAGGATTCAAAAGTCGTGCCCTAGAAAAACTATAAATGGTATCATGGGCCTTCAGTCTCTTGCAAATTGTTGAAACTATGAGTGTTAAATCCACGATGCTTTCACTTCCCTCATCTTGGCTCTACCACTTAAGTTATATAAATCTATACATGTCACTTACCTCTGAGTCTCTGTTTACCCACTTGAAAACCAGTGACATAACAGTACCTACCTCATCGGGCAGCTGTGCTGATAAGATGAGCAATACATACAGAAAGGTTAGAACGGTGTCTGACACACAGTGAGTGCTCAAGAAACGTCAGTTACTATCTCATTTGAGCCTCATGCCTCAGAGGTATTTTAATTCCCGTGGCTTGCACATGAGGCATCTGTCGTGTACAGAAAGAACAATGAATTTGGAACCTCAGTATCTGGATTTAGGCTCTGGTTCGTACTGACTGTGCTTTGTGAGCCACCTGACTTTTTGGGCCTTAGTTTAGTGTATACAATGAGGAGGATAATGCTACTTCTGTCTACCTACCTACCTTACTGCCTTAAGCACCCAAAGAGATCACGTATGTAAAAAGGCTTTGTCACGTGCGAAACACAATACAAATCAACTGCACCGTGAATATGGTCCTGAAAGGCAGTTTAGGCAGTGGTTCTGAATGTGTCAGCCTTCAGTGTCAGCCTGCCTGAATTCACGTCCTGGCTCTACCGTCTAATGCCGTGTGACCTTGAGCCAACTACCTGTTTTTCTCTGCCTCAGTTTCCTCATTGGTAAAATCAGGATAACGGTATCCATCTCATTAAACAGGATTAGGTGGAAAGCACAGAAGACAGTGTCTGTTACACAGCAGTGCTCAATAAATATGTCAGTTGGTCGATGATAACAACAATTATTACTATTACTGTGCTTTTGGCAATGATTAATCTAGTCATAGCCCTGCCGCCTCACCCTCTGTCCCGCAGCCTGGACCTCTCGGTGCCAGTCCTCCACCAGGGCCACCGCCTCCTCACCACTCTCAGGGTGGCGCGCCTGCACCCAAGCCTGGACCTCCCTGGGTAGGATAGTCAGGAACTGCTCCAGCACCAGCAGCTCCAGGATCTGCTCTTTGAGGCGGATCTCTGGCCGCAGCCAGTGACAGCAGAGCGCCCAGAGCTGGCTGAAGGCCTCGTGGGGTCCGGCTGCATCCCTGTACCGGAACTGCCTGAAGCGCCGGCGGGAAGCCTCAGGGCCAGGGTCGAAGCCCTCCTCCCCAGGTTTGCTCTCTGGTCTCCATGAGTCCCCTTCCAGCTTTACAATAAGGAGTTCTTCGGGTTCTGGTCGGGGAGAGGCCTGGGCCCGGGCTTCCAGGGCCATGGCCATGGCCTGTTCCGGACACCTTGCTTCAGCTGGGCCGTCCTCGTTCAATGTCTTCCTGCATTTAAGGTGTGTACTTCCAGGGATTCCTGGGAGAGGTGATGCTCCCCAAGGCTCTGAAGGCAGAGGGACAAGGGACAACAGACAATGTGAGTAAGAGGACCCCGAACCTTCCACTGCCTTTGCACAGAGCAGGGCTGCTCAGACAGGAATAGGCACAAGCAGGAAGACAGACCACAACCTGGCCCCCAAGCTGGCAGCCAGCACACGCTGGAGGAGGACAGTACAGCACGAAATCCTCTGTGATGTGCTGAACGCCGTGTTCTGGCATCGAGGCCATCACAATCTGGCCCCAGCATGCCTTCCTTCCTCTACACATGCCCAGTCTAACCCTTCCTCAAGTTGGGTTCCAAATGCCACCCCCCTCCACAGGGCCTTTCTCTCCGGACCTTCAGCTTTCCTTTAAGGGTGCTCCCCTTGCAAAACCCCTCTGACTCTACATTCCCTCTTGGCCAACCCATCCATTTGGCATTTTTCACCATCTTGAAACTGATGACTCCCAAAGCTCCAGCCAGGACCTGCCTCCAGACCCCAAATCCAATCATCTACAGGACATTTCCCACTTGACTGTCTATTAGGCACCTCAAACTCAGTGGGCCCCAAATTGAATTCATCATTTTCTCCTACAGACCCGTCCCTCTTCTGGAGCTCTCCATCCAGCCAAGGCACCACCTTCTATCAAGTTACCCATGCCAGGGGCACCTGGGTGGCTCAGTCAGTTAAGCATCCGACTTTGGCTCAGGTCATGATTTCATGGTCTGTGAGTTCAAGCCCCATGTCGGGCTCTGCACGGACAGCTCAGAGCCTGGAGCCTGCTTCAGATTCGGTGTGTGTGTGTCTCTCTCTCTGCCCTTCCCCTGCTCATACTCTGTCTCTGTCTCTGTCTCTCTCTCTGTCTGTCTCTCTGTCTCAAAAATAAATAAACATTTTAAAATATTAAAAAAAAAAAAAAATTTACCCATGCCAGAAACCCAGGGATCACCTTCCTTCAACATCCCCCACATCCAATTCATCACCAAGCTGTGCCTCCTGGCCTCCTAAGCATCTAGACCCCCAATGCTGCCACCTCAGGCCAGAGAGTCACCATGCTTTTCATTGGATCAGCCTCCTAACTCATGTCCCTGCCTTCTGTCCTCTCACCCCAACCTAGAGTTCTTCACACAACATCCAGACTAGCTCAAAATCTGACCGGGTCACTTCCTGCTGAACACCCTTGGGTGACCTCCCACATCCTTCACAATCAAGTGTGAACCTTGCCCAAGTCTATACCTCATCTCTTTACCATGTTCCACTGGTCAGGGCACTCCAGCCACACAGCTTGCTGCCCTTGGAACCCTCCCACATGCTGTGGACCATCTCCTTTAGGAAGTGTCCTCCCTTTCTTCACCTAGCTAGGTCTCAACTTCAATTGTACTCTTTCCAAGAGGCCCTCCCTGTGCCCTGAAACAAGATTCAATCCTTCCTATGCCACAAGCTTCCATGCCACCTACGTTTCTCTACCACAAACCTGATCATGCTCGATTATAATTATCTTACCCACTAGATCATAAGCTGACTAGTACAGTGCTCAGCACACAGAGGCAGCGCTCGGTAAACAATCCGCTCAGTCAGACAACAGTCAGCTCGTGATGGTGATGTGTCATGAAGCAAGGGTTATAACTAATCCCCTTCTGCACACACTAGATTTTTTTTTTTTTTAATTTTTTTTCAACGTTTTTATTTATTTTTGGGACAGAGAGAGACAGAGCATGAACGGGGGAGGGGCAGAGAGAGAGGGAGACACAGAATCGGAAACAGGCTCCAGGCTCTGAGCCATCAGCCCAGAGCCTGATGCGGGGCTCGAACTCACGGACCGCGAGATCGTGACCTGGCTGAAGTCGGACGCTTAACCAACTGCGCCACCCAGGCGCCCCGCACACTAGATTTTTAAATGACCTTCTAGCTCATGTCAGAAGGAATTCTTTCCTCCTTTCTATTTCTATCTCTGTCACACTTGCCACTTTCTATGTTGTATTAGAGGGGAGTGTATGTGTGTGGCCCCAGAGAGATTACGGCCTCACTGAGGATGAGGAACATAGTTTACCCCTTCCCTCCTCCACCCCCACAACAAGCATGATGCTACACACAGAAGGCTCTCCGAAAACACTTATTGAGTGGACAACTGGGATTGCTTCTTTGACACAAGGAAGACTCTGACAACACTTGTGCTGGGTGATCTGGAAAAATGAGCTCTTTGTGTCATTCCCAACAAATCTAGATGACATAAAAGCACCCACTCAAAGGAAACTATCAGCTCCTTCCAAATGGGAATGACACAGCCAAATTGAGAGTGGAGAGGGGCTGGTATTTAGATTTTAGGCCATCTGACTGGACTCTCCAGGAACAAGGCAAGGGTGATGAAAAATAAAGACTTGTCCTAAAGACCTCTACATACTCAGGGAGGAACTACGAACACAACTCATGACCATCTGACAGCTTCCTGCTTGTCCCTCAGCTACCAGGTCAATGTCACCTCATCTGTTAAGAATTCCTTAACATGCCTTTGTCATGCCCTGCCCCATCCCTGCTTTCCCAGAATCGCTTCTCCAGTCCTGTATTCCCAAAGCAATTGGCACATGCCTTTACTATAAAGTGGCATCCTACACTGTTGTAGTTACCTGTCCTTACCTCTGACCATTAAATTGTATTATTAGGGCCAGGACTCTATCTTACTCATTTCTGTATCCATAATGCCTGATAAATAGCAGGGCCATTGGAAGTGTTGTTGCCTTTAATTAAAATGGTAAATCCAGTATCTCGAAAGCCTATTGGGCTATGGAAAGTCCATCATTTATATTAAGCTAAAGAATTAACTTTTCATGAAATTTCTTTTTTAGTCACAGCCTTAATCACGCACTAGTCCAAAAGTATTTGTGTCACTCTCTCACACAAGGACTAATTCACCAGTCATTTACAGAGTCCCACTATGTACCTGCACTGTACTGGTATCTACACAGCCAACAGTAACTGGGAAAGACGGTTTGTACCTTCATGAAAGTTACTTTCTAATGAGCGAGACCGTCAATGAGCAAGCAAAGAAGTTTGTGCTCCTGCACAGAGAGACTAACACTACAACAAAATAGGCAATTAGTAGTCCCACCAGTCCCAAAGCCAAGAGCCACAGATAATAGGTATTTTCTTCTGGGAAGACTTGAAAGTTCAAGGGTTAGTTTCAAATACAAATCTGACATTTGCAAATGACATATCAGATAAAGGGCTAGTATCCAAAATCTATTAAGAACTTATCAAACTCAATACCCAAAAAACAAATAATCCAGTGAAGAAATGGGCAAAAGACATGAACAGACACTTTTCCAAAGAAGACATCCAGATGGCTAAAGAACACATGAAAAGATGCTCAGCATCAATCATCATCAGGGAAATACAAATCAAAACCACAATGAGATACCACCTCACACCTGTCAGAATGGCTAACATTAACAACTCAGGCAACAACAGATGTTGGCAAGGATGCGGAGAAAGAGGAACTCTTTTGTATTGCCGGTGGGAATGTAAACTGGTGCAGCCACTCTAGAAAACAGTATGGAAGTTCCTCAAAAAATTAAATACAGAACTACCCTATGATCCAACAATTGCAATACTAGGTATTTATCCAAAGGATACAAAAATGCTGATTCAAAGGGGCACATGCACCCCAATGTTTATAGCAGGACTATCAACAATAGCCAAAGTGCCCAAATGTCCATCGACTGATGAATGGATAAAGAAGATGTAGTATACATATACAAAGGAATATTACTCCATGATCAAAAAGAATGAAATCTTACCATTTGCAACAACATGGATAGAACTAGAGTGGATTATGCTAAGTGAAATAAGTCAGTCAGAGAAAGGCAAATATCATGATTTCACTCGTATGTGGAATTAAGAAACAAAACAGATGAACATAGGGGAAGGGAAGCAAAAATAAGACAAAAGCAGAGAGGTAGACAAACCATAAGAGACTCTTAAATACAGAGAACAAACTGAGGGTTGCTGGTGGGGTGTTGGATAGGGAGTATGGGCTAAATGGGTGATGGGCATTAAGGTGGGCACTTATTGAGATGAGCACTGAGTGTTATATGTAAGTAATAAATCACTGAATTCTATCTCTGAAATCATTACTACGCTATATGTTAACTTGGACATACATACATACATACATATATATATAAAACAAATACAAATCTGAAAGCTTTTCCTGCTACTCTCTTAGATAGGAATTGCAGCCTATCCACAGAGGGAGATCAATACAGTCAGCAAATGGCAGGGTGACTTTACACAGAGCTGGGAGAAAGAAAGGACAAGGGCATCCCTCAGTCCTAAGATGACCAAGAATGTCAGGGCCACACCAGGATCAACAATCTCAGGGGCGCCTGGGTGGCGCAGTCGGTTAAGCGTCCGACTTCAGCCAGGTCACGATCTCGCGGTCCGTGAGTTCGAGCCCCGCGTCGGGCTCTGGGCTGGTGGCTCGGAGCCTGGAGCCTGTTTCTGATTCTGTGTCTCCCTCTCTCTCTGCCCCTCCCCCGTTCATGCTCTGTCTCTCTCTGTCCCAAAAATAAATAAAAACGTTGAAAAAAAAAATTTAAAAAAAAAACAATCTCAAAGAGTACCCATCTCCTGAGTGCCCATGAGGTGCCAGGTCTGGTGCTACGTGCTCTACATTCACAATCTCACTGAATCCTCCTGGCAAGCAAGTCAAGCGTCATTAGTGTGGAGTTGCACTACACTGATCTCTAACTTACATGTATTAAACTGCATGCAAACACCAGAAAGAGGAAAAAAAAAAAAAAGCACATAATTTAAATGGTGCAGCCAGTTCTGTTCGCTATGTGTCTATTCCAGAATAAGCAGGATTTTCTTGGTCCCCAGGTTGGTCTGAATTCCCTCAAGCCTCTCTCTCCAGA